TAGGGTTTAGGGTTTAGGGCAAGTGTAGGGTCTAGGGTTTAGGGTTTAGGGCGGTTTAGGGTTTAGGGTAAACTGTTATTTAATGGTTACTTTAAGGAATGGCCTAAAACCCTAAACCCAAAAAGTATTCAAGTGTTGGTACTCCAGAACCCAGTACCCTAAACCCAAAAAATGTATTAAAGTATGGTACTCCAGAACCCAGTACCCTAAACCCCAAAAAAAGCATTAAAGTATGGTACTCCAGAACCCAGTTGCTCCTCCGGAACAGCAGCGAAGAAGGAGCGCTGCCTTCGGCATTCACACGCTATCCCTCCTGCGGTTCAGGGCTTTTGTGCTTTATAGAGTTTATGATTTATAGAGTTCAGGTTTAGGGTTTAGGGTTTAGGGATTTAGGGGTTTAGGGATTTTAGGGTTTAGGACTTGGCGTATAGGATTTAGGGGCTTATAGGGTTTAGGGTTTGGGGTTCCGGGTTTAGGATTTAGAGTTTAGGATTTAGTGCATAGGGTTTAGGGGCGTATAGGGTTTCGGGTTTGAAGATCAGGGTTATAGGGCCAATAGGGTGTAGGGTCTCCTGCGCTGGACGTCCGGCTCCTGAGGTAAAAGAGTTTGCCTCCAGCTTGCTGGCAAAGCAGTTCCTCGGTGTCGATATCAACAGCCACCAAGGCATATATTTAGGGCTCTAGATTCAACCAAACATGGGAATCAACAAAGATCCAAAATCGGTACCTAACCTATACCCCTAAACCCTAAACCCCTGAACCCCTATAACCATAAACCCTAAACCCCTAAACCCCGAAACCCCTAAAACCCTAAACCCCTACACCCTACACTCCTATACCCTAAACCCCTATAACCCTAAACCCTGTAACCCCTAAACCCTAAACCCCAAACCCTACACCGCTAAACCCTAAACCCCTAAACCCCAAGCCCTATAACCCCCCAAGCCCCTATAACCCTTTTTTTACATCTGGACTTGATGAATGCCAGCAACCCTAAACCCCCAAACCCCTAAAACCCTATAACCCTATAACCTAAAAGCCCTAAACCCTAAACCCTAAACCCTATAACCCCTAAGCCCCATAACCCCCAAGCCCCTATAACCCCTAAACCCCATAACCCCCAAGCCCCTATAACCCCTAAACCGCCGAGCTTCTGCTTCAGCAACCGCCGAGGCGTTCACAGTCTCGAAGCATTTCCTCGCTCCGAAGGTCCTTGGCCGCGCAGGACTAGGGTTTAGGGTTTAGGGTTTAGGGTTTAGGGTTTAGGGTTTAGGGTTTAGGGTTTAGGGTTTTGGGTTTCCGATGCTTTTTGGGGGCTCCTCTAAAGGCAAGGGCTCCTGGGTATCAGGGTTGAGGGGTTTGGGGTTGGGGTTTAGGGTTTGGGGTTTAGGGTTTGGGGTTTAGGGTTTAGGGGAAATTCCAGTTTAGGGTTCTTCTAAAGGAAAGGGTTCCTGGGTATCAATTTTTTGCCTCCTACCTAGCAAGGACGAGCCCGCATTGCAGGCTTTGACTTTGCACAGTCACGCCCCAATTTCAAGGCTTTTGCCAATTAGCCAGAAGTATCTATCAAAGAGCTTCCAGTCAAGAAGACAACAGTTAAGTCTTACCTGGGTATCGGTTTAGGGTTGAGGCTGCTAGGGTTGCGAACTGTTTCTACCATAATGGCTTCGGCCTCAAACTCACTGCTTGCTGGAGTATACGCTTCATTCTGCATCGACGCAGTCTGGAAAATGCGAGAACAACACAGGCGTGACATTGAAAAACACGGCTGGAGGGACATGAGAGTCTAAACCTCGTGGCAATGAACTCCCCTTTCAGGGAATTCCAGATTCTGAACCATGACACACGAAACCATATATATATATATACATACATATACACTATATAGGGGCCTTAATAAGTAGAATAGGGTTTTGGGGCCATTAGACTACAATTATAATAAGGAACCCCCCAAAATAATATAGGTAATTCTTGAGGCCCCCACATGAGCGTCCCACATCCGGATAGCTAAGCTTGTAAACAGGGCCGGCCTATGCCATCCCAATATCGTAGAACCACCGCCCTCTTGGGGGTTTAGGGTTTATCACCTTAAACACCCCTAAACACTAAACGTGCGACGCCTAACCTAGAATGTAGGCGTTTAGGGCTTAGGGTTTACGGTTTAGGGCCTAGGGTTTATAGGGTTTATTACCCTAAAAACCCTAAACCCTAAATCGAGCTGCTAGAACTCGAACGTACCCATCGGGAGATTGTTGAAACCCTGAAACTGACCCAATACCCTCAACTTCCCTAAACCCTAAACCCAAAATCCTCCATGCCCCAAGCCCTATACCCTCAACTTCCCTAAACCCTAAATCCTGTAGGCCCTAAACCCTATACCCTCAACTTCCTTGAACCCTCCACCCCCCGACCTAGAGACCTCCACGTCATCCAAGAGGCATGACGTAGGTATCGTCCACAGATGTGGGGAAGAACAAGGTGGCTTCACCCTTGACGTAACTTTCGCCGAAGGGCAGATGTTCCTCGGGTTTAGGGTTTAGGGTGTGCTGTCGGAAAGATTCACTAATTAGGATTTCAGTTGCAAAGTTTGAGGCATCGGACGAACCCAGCAGCCACGGCAACTGAGATCCCAGACCCTAGCCCGTTCTCAGTTTGCATGCTTTTGGCCTTCCCTGCATGTCGACCTCCAACCAATGGTGCATCAAGCAAAACAGTAGTAAGCCTTGTGAAGTTACACTGGGTCTCTTCCGTTTAGTATTTGAAGGTTTTGGGTTGGAGGGCTTTGGATTAGCCATTGGGATCCTGAAGGTGGGGAACGGTTTATGGCATGACAGCTTGAATCAGTGTTGAAGCTTGTCCTGCGTTAAGCCCGTACCCATCATGTTATTTTCATCGTCCCCTCACCATAAACCCTAAACCCCAAACTTCCCTGCGGGTTCACGTTCCGGGGTGGTTTTGTCGCGGAATTTTCGGGGGTCATTAAGCCCCCCCCCCCCCCACCCAACCCCCCCACCAAAGAGCAAGCAGAGCACATGACGGAAAACGGCACAGACAGAAAAACACA